GCTTGGATGTTTAGGGGGCAGTCTCCGGGGGTTGGGCCCCTTGGATGCCAGAGGGGGCACCCCCGTGGGGTTGGTCCTCTTTGTTGCCAAGTGCCCCTGGGGGTGCCCCTGGAGTTTGGTTTTCTTAGAGGTCAATTGGGGCAGCCCCCCCGGGGGAGAGATCTCCTTGGATGCCAAGGGGGGCAGCTCCCGCGGGGTTGGTTTCTCCTTTTCCTAGTGGGGCAGCCCCTGGGGGTTGGTCGTTGGTCTTCTTGGAGGTCAGGTGTGACACCCCGAGGAGCTGGTCTTTTTGGATGCCAGGGGGGAGCTACGAGGGTCGGGTTCCTTGGATGGCGGGTGGGTCCGCCCCTAGGAGTTGGGCCTCTTGGATGCCAGGTGTGGCACCCCCGGAGGTTTTCCTCCCGAAAAAACACGTATCACGTTGTTGAAATTCGTGCTACCGTGCCAAGGAAGAACGCCGTATGAACCATCAGGCGTTGCCAAATTTCCCTCAACAAAAATTTTCAACAATCAGGAAAATTTCTGAATATTTCCTCTCCAATTGTGTGGAGGATTTCGTCAGTAATTTTATCTAAAATATCTGAAAATTTTTCTAGAAAATACGTATTTTATGCGGGGAAATTTGGCCACTCTCGAATGTTTATACGGCGTTTTTAATTAGCACGGCAGCGCACCCTGTATTCTGGGTCAATGATTTGCATTCAATTAGCCAGGTATGCAAAATGACTGCCGTGACGCATGTTTAGTGGTATCAGAATTTCGCATTGAGATTACGTAGTGGGTTGAAGGCGCTCTTCTGTATCCTATCTGAGCGGGTAGGTTCAAAACGCTAATTGCAGAAATGCGTATCTCGTGATGAATTGTCATTTTCTAATCATGCATTGCTTGATCTGGCCATATGAGATCAAACTAAATCTTGTCTGATAAGGAATTGTAAGCGTGAAACTCTTTTTCCAGTCTTTAAATGATCCTCAACAACAGGTTTAAAACACTAATTGCAAAAATGCGTACCTCGTGATAAAGTGTCAATTATTAGTAGGCCAAAAACACGAATCTCGGCATTTCTGCTGTTTTTTCTAACAGTTCGAGAAATTATTCAAAATGCTGATAGAGTCTGTAAAAGCATCTTATTCTTGCTAACCTCAAGAATTATTACCCTTCTACTAAAAATAAAGAGGAATGTAGACAGATTTTAGCGGCTCTGGTGCTTGCACTATTAGCGGCTCTGCTGCTTGCACTAGAGCTGCTATTCCGGACGGTCCCAGCTGGGGAGTATCAATGGACCATGTTACATTGGAGAGACCGCGCGTTGGTTGATGGGAATCGGCGCCATTTTCGACTATGTACCTTGTCATGACTTTATTTTATTGCATATTGTTTTATTGTTAGCCAATGCTATGTTGTGTAGTGTATTTTTGGAATCATGGTGATACAGTCAATAATTCAAAACTTGTCTGTGCTTTAATCTCGTGATGGAAAAAATGTACTTTACGTTCAAAATTTGAAATTTTGAATTTTAAAGTTTTCGCGGTTTTTTGGAAGAATGCAGTGGTTGGAGCTTCCTAGGCATATTACTCGATATCAGCTGATAGCAAACAAAGGTTACCAAGGAAACCGTAAACGTTTAACAACTATCGTGGCCATCGGGGCGATTATTGAAATGACATCGACTCTATGTCGCCGCTTACGACAGGACATAGCCCTATCTTATCCGTGTAATATATCGCAATTCAATATTGTTTTGATTTTTAAATGGAACAATTTATTCATATGTTCCGATTAGTTTTGGCGAACGGGCCCCTTAACCTACGTCACTACGCCACCTACGTCAAGAAATTGGCGCCCAATAACAACGACAAGTTAAAAAAAAAAAAATGTGAAAGAGATTTTTTAGGATGCGGACCTCCAAAGAGCCTTCAAAATTAAAAGTATACAACAAGTGATAGTGCCATGCATTCTGCATATCAAGGGCCGATACACATTTATACACCGGCTTTGTAAATCTGCTAAGTTACAAAACATGAATCGACAGTTGTCGGATTGTACATACATCAATGACAAAATGTGTCTAGGCCCTCATTCTTGACTACAACTACCGTCGCCAGAGCCGCTTTCCGACGCGAATGCGTTGGGGCTTACTGCTTGTTTTACTCTCCTGTAAAATCGTGTTTTCCGAGATACGCCTTTTTGGGCGGTTTCACGATACCTGGAATAGTTTTGTCGCCGTAACTGACAACACATTTTTCGGTCACATTATCAGAAGAGATGATAATCACTCGAATTTATTCGCGATTATCTTCGAAGGGTTACGTATTATAACGCTTTCTAATGATTTATTGCTCTACTTCTCAATAAATAGTACGTAAATTCCGAAAATGTGCTGTCTGTTACGCGGTAAAAAGTCAGCGTAAAGACAGCATATTTTCGGCCGTTTATATATTAAAATTGAAAAGTAGAGCTATAAATCTTTGAAAAGCGTTAAAACACGTAATCCTGTGTAGATTAATGCAAACAAATTCGAAAGATTATCATTACTACTAAAAATAAGACCGAAAAGTATGTTGTCCGTTACAGCGACAAAACTATATATTCCAGTTATCGTGAAACCACCCTTTTGCACTTTCACCATCGAAATGCGACAAAAATGTACCCCAAAACCATTTGCAGGGGTTGAATCTATGGTGCGTGTACACTTAAAATTGCGAAAAATCGAAATCTTGGCTGATCCTGTTTCCGAGATATTGCAATTTGAAATTTTGATCTTGATTCTCACATTGATATTGATACTTATTATATTTAGCCTACAAACTCTCACATCGATATGTATTATGCCAATGTGTCGGTGGTAAACTTGAGAACTTTCTTTTAAAAACGAACACGCGTAAAGAGATTTTGGAAGTTTTAATAGAAAATAGCATTTTCGACTTTAGGCAACGATATTTCTTTGTATTTAAGTAGGAGGTACGCTCCTTAACCGCTTCGCAGTCCGATTGCACCTCAAAATTTACACGTTGCACTTATAATTTTATGAGACGCAGTGTGTATTCATAAAAGGTCTCAACAATATCTGGAAATTTTTAACAACTGCCATGGTGTGATTTTCTCTTTATTCAAGACAAATTTAACATAAAAATACATATTTACATAAAATATACACACTATGACAAAAGAGGATATATGGAGTAGGTGGTAGTAACACGTCACCTTTGACAAGTCTTTCCAATTATTTCCATAACTCAACATTTTTTAATGGGGTTCCGCATTATTCGATTTCAAACCTCGTTCTCTTCGAGAAAGAGGAATTATTGCTTCTACAATCAGCTGCCATAAACTCCTCATTCCCTCCCAAAACTGAGTACTGAAATTTGGGACTTAACGCTTAGATAATATCTCGAAACTGAAATGCCAGTATTTGACAGTTGAAGAGAGGGCGAAGCATAACTTTGATACATGTATGCAGGTCATTATATATAGATGTGAAAGGCTTGAAGGACATGTAATAGGTATGTTAAGAATGAATTTAGGCTTCAATTTTGGCTTGTAAAAATTAATGAAAGGCAGAGGCTGAATAAAGTATCAATGACTCGAAAGTATATCGACATCCTATGAAAATTGTACGGTAAATGGAGTATTTTTTCTTCTTCTTTTTTCATAAAGACAAGGTGAAGAGACAATTTCGAAACCCATAAATCGATAAAAATCAGAGACACGCGATGAAGATTGATACTTTTGGACAAAAGAGGACTAATGGCTATCGTATTCGTGAATTGAATTTCGAACAATATTAAGATTACTTTTTTTAATGAAAAAAACTGTTTTCTTTCCAAACACGTATCGAATATAGTCTCCACGTATTGCGGATCTGATACTGATATTTTGGCTACTGCATGGGGTAGGGAGAAAAAATACTACCCCTTTATCTTGTGAACTTCGCGTTGTTTTTCATCATTACAAATTAAAAAACAAACTTTAAAAATAGACAGTAACATCTCTAATACAAATGATCGATGAAGAATATCTCGGATCCAAGCTGAATACAACGAACAGATACATTTTTTTAAAATCAAATTAAGGGAGAGTAGCGTCTTTCGGATGCGCAATTACTCAGAACTTTGAACGGGCTTGAGCTTCTCACGTGTACGTTTGTGTATTAATATTGTTATACGTGTTCATATTGATTTCGTTCATTTTTTTATCTTCGTCATAATACTTGTTGCAAAAAGACCTGATCCTTTGGCATGCCTCTTTTAACAAGTGCTCTGGAACTGTCAGGACGATCCTGAAGTAAGAAGGGTAATCAAAACACTGAAACAAAAGAAATAAAGTATCTTGCAGTTCAAATTAAAATAACATTAAAAAAAAGACAAAAGGGAAATGACATAGGTTCATTAAAAAAAAAAGAATACATTTTGAAGTTTACCAATGATCCCCAGAAACACATGCATACGGGCGTTCATCTCATATGAGAACGGCAGCCGAAAAGTAAAAATAGGAGAAGAAAAAGGAAAGAAAATGAACCGTCGGCTCAATTTTTCCCCCTTTTTTTTCTTAATTCATAAAGAAGGAGGTTCATTATGAATGCATAATTACGTACTGTTTTAATTAAACTCTTATAGGAATTTTAAGATTTGCAGTGAATATAAACATCAGTAAGAGCTGCTGCCCTAATCGTCATTTTTATCAATCGACCACCTCAAAATGAATATGTTACGCCTAAAATATTTCCTTGAACCTTCCTGTTGATTTTCCAGACATTCGCCGCTTCTACACAGAGAGGATCCAAAAAATGCAGAACGCCTTCAATTCTTCGTGTATGCTAAAAAGACATCGCTTAGGCACGAATATTTTCCCTCCAAATTATGCTCAACGTGACGCGATATCGTAACTGAAGCACGAAAAATACTCATGCCCTACGCCTGTGTACAAGTATGTTTTAGCAGTACTTATAAACGAAGAATTGAGGGTACTCTGTCTTTCTGGACCCTTGCAATGCTGTTCTGTGTCCACCGCGCTGTACATACCGCGGGAGAAGCGGTGAGAGTCAGGAGAGTCAAAACGCCTTAGCTTCCGCGCATATGCAACACGGACATACACAGAGATCGAATAGTTGCATCCAGGCGTTTGCGGGCGCCTTGCATGTTTATCTTTGACTTTAACTGAATCGCCAGCGTTGCCAATATGCTGACGAAATGAACTTTGTGATTTTTATCGCGTCATTGTCTATTTAACGAAAAATTCTTTATTAGAACAATGTCCGCCAGCGATGAAGGAGGAATGTGGCAGAGTTGTTTCATGTCGACATTTCAGGAAGAATATTTTAAGCGCGTAAAATATATTTTGTTTGTGAAATTGTATCTCAATGAACCCTTCGATCCGAATAACTCAAAACTGCTCTTTTGATGACTCATTTTTCACAATTTTCCCGAGTAGCTCCCCGGTCAGTGGCGAGGCGTGAATGATCGATTATCGGTATTTCCACATTTGAAGCTATGGTAATCAAAGAATCGATTAATAAGGCGTTCATTGCGAATAATCCGTTTATCGATCCTTTTCTACAAGTTTAAATGGTAGATCAATCGATGTACCGCGAAGCTCGCCACGCCACAGTCCCGGATCTCCACGGAGTGATGAGGCCCCCCCGAACTCTCCTCTGAAGATAGAGTGGAGTCCTTAAATCCCCCTCAGTGAGGTCTCTTCCTGTGTCCCCCTTGATGAGTTGCCTTTCTTCCTTCCTTGAAAAAATTCTGGTTCGGTTCAAGGAGATTAGTCCCTTATTTTAGACAAATGAAACGAGACAGGAGTTTTGCAACATCGCAAACGGAGAGACGTGATTCGGTACTTTTACGATTGATGTGCCACCATGACGTCATTTTTATCAATCGACAACCTTAAATTGCGCATGCTACGCCTATAACATTTTCTTGGACCTTGCTTGAGATTATTTACCTTGCCGGGGAGACAAAACACAGATTCTTCACCGACCATCTTTTCGACGAACTCGAGGTCACTAGAAAAGTCCGGGAAGTGATCCATGTCCACACCAACCTGAAAGACAAAAGCGGCACAATTCATTCATCAATTCTTTGAACCCCATGATATGTTCATAGTCTTTCTCCGTTTTATCAGTCATGCCTCAAATACAGGACGATGGAAGTTTTAAAATCAGTCTATGTCCTCATCATCGATGATGAAAAAATTAATAATGGTGTGCTTATTCATGATCTATACTTTTCATCATGCGTAAAAACAGGTTAAATTCAGTTACGAATTTTTTAAAATTCTTTGAGTTAAGACTCTTTTTTAAAACCCGTGAAACGAATCACCTGGTACACATTTGATGAACATCACAGAGCTGAGGATGTCAATGGCCGATAGAAAAAAGTGCATACTTGCAAATAAATTTTAATATGGTTTCACGAACGAACTCTCAATCATCATATGTACTGATCATGTGTAGGCTTGGGTGCCCGAAGTTTTAATATGGTCTCGCTGGAACTGATTGTTGAAATTGATGGACAAAGCTATAGACAGAAGAGATAAAGGCAAAATGGAGAAATACTGCTGGTGGAAGCCGGGTGGTTGCAATGGACAAAGGAAGTAAGTAATAGATTAACTAACGGTAAACTACTAGAGACCATCCAATTAGTCCAACATTTCCTCCTTGGTCTATAAGAATCCCCCGCGTTCCCATCAATAGGATCTCTCCAACTTTCCTTTGTGTTCTTTGTCTATCGCTTGTCTATCAATTGTAACAATTAGTTCGCAGGATTTACAGAGATTACCCTCATTTGTTTTCATCAGTGCACTAAGCGTTGACATGCAATCTTCGATTTTTTCTTCATCTCTAAATGTCGTACAATTGATTGCGATTTATTTTGATGGACTAGCTAATTGAGGGTTTAAGTTAATTTTTCATAACAGGTCAAAGATTCTCCTGGATTTTAGTCCCTCTGATTCTGATTAATTTGAAACATAAAATATATTACCATCATATACATAGCACCTTGAGGCATCACAGGCTTAATTCCTTTTGTTTGACTGAGGAGATCATACGCGACTTTCGCATGTTTCTAAATATAAAACATAAACAGTATAATGTTAAACGTTTGATTATCAATGAGTAAATGTGTCTAAAAATGTATTGATTTTTATTTATCATTTTTATCGTTCAACATCTTTTTTTTTCACTGATTTCGGATTGGCATCAAAATAATACTTAGGGAACGGATTATTTCGAGAGGTAAACCCGAAACATTTTCCAAAATTGACTTTTCGAAGAATATACTATTTTTTTTTAGGGTGGACGCAACTTACTATGGATCGACTCTACCGAAATTGGTCTTTAGAAGTCCTCTCTTGCCATTTAAATATCCGATTTAGTTGACAAATACGTAATTCCTGAGCCACCTCATTCAGCACAGAGTGCTTTCTCATGAGGAAACCATTAAACACAAACCATGATTTTTAATATTTCCATGCTATTTGAGTGTCATAGTATACTGCTAAGAATGACAGTGCCTAGCTGTTTTGTGGAGGGAGGGCGTATCCACAAAAATGTAAAAAAATCATTCCTTGCCCGAATTTTTCGACCTTCCTAAAGTGACCGAGGTTAAGACCTCTAAGAGTATCTATTAAGAGATTCTATATGAGACATTGCTTGATTTTAGTGGGGAAAAACGCATGTCAAGTTTTTTCATGTTTTATCGAAACTTAACTGTTGGCGGTTACACCATTCTTTAAATAACCCGTGTAAGATGTTTGATCTTATACTCACATAATTGTCTCAGAAGTCACGATATAAGCAATAGAAGAGTTGATTGATCTTGGTGCTCACCTGTAAAGTATCGATGACGTTATCGAAGAACTCTTCCGGGACTTTTGCAAGAATGTCTGGTAAAGCCCCTTGCACAATTGTATTCGCTCCAATTATCCTGGTGCTTAGATTTTGTAGACCTGTGCGCATCTGAAAACGGAGAGAAACCACCATGATTTCAACTAAATCATACAAATATCATAATATGGTTCTCCTACTTGTTAATAGTTTCAAATTCTGAAAGATCTGCCGATTGCTTCGATACTTGGTTTTGCTTTTTGTTTATGTTGGATATTAAAAGAAAAGGCGGACAGGGGTGTAGAGTATTCACAATACAATGACCGACCGGTCTTTCGCGAACTGCGTGGGTAGTGCGAAAATTGGATAGGCTACGACCTTTAACAATGCATGAAACAAAAGGTATTACGCCCTGATAAAAATGCGCTCCATTTTTAAGCACACCTTCCGAAGTTGCGCGCATCTCGGAATACACCGCAAACAAATCTGGTTCCGCCGCGCCGCACGGTGATCGAGTGAATCAGAAAGGTCGGACATGATATATCTAACTGTAACTGCTGTTGATGTTTAATTTGTCACATTTTAAATTTTGAAGGGTGCCAGTAGAAGAAAATTTCACGGAAGAATAAATGGAGCCTTATTAAAATATCAAAGTTTTGATTTAACGGAGTTATAAGCTTTTAAAGTTTCTAAATTTTGTCCAACCTCTCCCATCGACTCGATCCACTGTAAGCCGCCCACAGGCTCGGGGAAAAAGTGCGATGCTTGAAGTATTCTCATAGTTATGAAGGCGCTCCCAGCGATCGTTTTTCGCGTTAAGCTAGAGCACCTGAAATTTTCTTCCAGAAGATGAGGTCCCTTCTCACAGATCCGTTCACGCATTATGAAGCAACAAAACTTTCTCGCATATCCACACCGCGACAGTTAAAAAGAGCTTGGTCTCTTTTCGACTGACATCGGAGACTCTAACGCATGGGTAGAAAAGTTAGACGGGGCGAAATGCGTGATTCCACTATTCCGACTTCCCAGTAGATAAAATTGCAAATCCAAAAAATGTAGGAGAACTATACGGCGGACTCAGAGACTTTAACGCAAGAGTAGAAAAGTTAAACGTAGTGAAACACGTGATACAACGATGATAAAGACCTCGTATACCAATTTTCAGCCAAATCGAAGGGGGTCGGGTACCGGGCCTGGTTGAGTTGACATAGATTAACCCATCTGGATATTTTGTAAAAATTAGTGCGAAAGCACTGATTTTTACAGAACTCGTGCGAAAGTGTTGAATCGGATCTCATTGATCTTAGGCGAAATTTCGTTCACTTTATTAATTATTCGTTCATCTACTAAGATCATACATCAACTCTTGAATATACTTACCTCTTTCCCAAAGATGTCGTGCCTATCATGAATTACAATCCAGCCTAGTCTCCAACCGGGACATAAAAATCTGCAACAGAAGACAGTCCTTCGCTGTATTATCAGATACTTTTCCATTTTTTTATATTTCATACTGCAATGCCCTTCCAGCAGGCTAATTATTAAAATTTATGAAAAGAGATACGGACAATGAAAAATAATTTTGGAACTATAAATTCTGGTCCGGTTTAAAAACAACGTATGTGCCATTAGTTTCCCTGTGCACATACGTGTTTTTTCAGATGAGCCAGTTCCAAATTGCAAAATGCAATCCAATTGTAAGAGATAATGAAGAGATCCTACTGGTGGTAGCAAATGTTTACGATGGACAAAGAAGGTAACTAACGGCAACGAACTAGAGACCCCGTAGTTAGTCTATAATATTCACCCTTAGTCTATAGGAACCACCCATTTCAACCAATAGGATCGCTCCATACTCCCTATGTCTTCTTTATCTATCACTTTGCATATAAACTTCAATAACTAGCCCGTTGGCTGCTATGCGGTTCAATCTGCAGCGGACTATCCGGGCCCTTGGAAAACCGCTTTGCAGCTTAATGAAACAATTTTACGTGGTGTTGGACGAAATAATGACGAACTATACGTATCGATCGATACACTTTTTTTGTAAACTATGTAAATGTAAATTACAGGTTGCCAAGTGATGGGATAAAATGCGAACATTTTACATGGGTTTAAAGGTGGAGAAAACCTGATTTTTCAGCACTATCTTGCAACAATGATTACCTTTTAGTCAGCCCACTGCAGGACAATATAGGGACATCCGCGGACACGGATGCAAGCGGATGGAATTTTTCGCCCGGGAAAACCTGCGATCAATGCAAAAAAATGTATTTTTCAAGTTAAAAACAACGAATTTATAATTTTAAAATAAATAATAAAGAATGAAAGAATAACAGGAATAAAGAATGGATTTTGCGTCAGAAAATTTCAACTTTTCTTGGGTACTCTCGAGTCAAAAAAGAGTTATGGTAAATCCTGGGTAAATCAAATAAATAAATCAGAAATTAAAATTATTGAGTTGAAATCATTGAAAACTCGAGTTTTTTCTTATGTCCGTTTTGAATATGTTTGGGCTTGGTGTACACTTTGAATATATTTCAAACATCCTGACAAAAATGCAAAAAGAAACTCACAAATTTTTTATAAGGTAAGTTAAATGATTCTAGCAAAGTTAATTTGAATAAATTCTATGGAAAATCCGATTTCAAAAAGTGGCAACTCCGAGTTTAGGGAGTTTTGAGGAGTGCTTTAAAAATAGATTGATGCAAATTTAGTCTGAGTCTCTTATGCTTCAATATACAATTTTGAAACGTCTTTTTGCAATTCTTTTCAAATTAGCCATTACTGCAGCAGGTAACATTTGAGGACTTACCAAGTGCTCGTAAATTTCATCAGCAATAATCGGTACATGATATCGACTTATCGTATTCACGATATCTCTCAGGTGGAGAATGCTGTAATTCGAGCCGCATGGATTCGATGGATTGTTTATCACAATAGCTGCACATTTATATTTTTCTAATTGATTTTCTAAATTAATCAAGTCTATTTCCCATCCTTTGCTGGGCTGTTAAGGGAAAGAAGAGAAACACACGAGTTAATAGAATAAGAAAAGCATAAAAAGAGTATGAAATAGCCAGAAATTGTAGTTTCACTGGAAAAAAACCACATTGGATCTAGAGTCCAGATTCTTAAGAACATCGACGAGAAAAAGTACTCTTGATTCAATCAGAATCTAGCTTAAATCAAGAACCAAGCCTCTTAATTTAAGCGGATTTCGTTTTGATTCAAGCAAAAATCCGATTGAATCAAGAGTATTTTTTCTTGTTAATGTTTTCAAGAGTCTGGACTCTAGATCCAATGTGTTTTTTTCCAGTGTTCGAATTGCCGAATGTAGTTCAATTATACAATACGAGGAATACAACGCGTTTGAAAACGGCTGAATGATGAAGACGGTTTCTGATTGGCGGAGATCTGAAAACTGTAAATGTTAATCGTTTATGCCAGTGGGCACTCCCGGGGCCGGGCGTTTGTTGAAGAGTACAACACGTAGAGTGCTCCGTTGAAATTTTGTCTCTGGAGGCCTTGTACAGGTATTTCTCCTAATTGGCTCAGCAGCATCCAATCATAATCGCTTTGCTCGAAACATGTAAAAAAACTGCGCACACATCGTGGTGGCCTCCTTTAAAACAGCCACTCACGAGATTTCTTCGCAGATACATCCATCTGCGTCGTTGTGCCGATTCGAGGAGAAGGATTTTTGCATAAAACATACGTCATTAATTCGTTCAGAACTACGCAGTTTTTTTACTCATCCTCAGAAGCTTCTCTGCGTCGCTGTGCCTTCTGCGTTGCAATCAAACCAACCAGTTGCGGGCAGAGCCTGATTTAGGTTATCAAGCGCCTCCCCTAGTAGCATGATTCACTTTCCCCTTCCTAACAAACGTATAAGGAATTAATACCGGTTATATAATCACCATTTTAACTAAAGTTTATATATCGTGTATATAAGTTTTATATAAAATGCCCATGAAAATAATTATTCATATTTTCAGAAGATAACGTTTATATAAAATTTATATAATTGAGGAAGGGTTTTTATAAATTTTCTTTATACGCATAGTATCCTTTTGCTTAATTTGATTATTATAACTGTTATATAAATGACCTGAATGACTTTAACGTAAACCTATCTCATTTTCATGAATGATGATGATGATCTCATTTCAATGAACACCCTCGACTCTCAGACTGCGTGGGATAGGTATTATTAGAGGTACTAATGGCTCCGAGACGAGTTAAAAGGGGATATCTCGGCACACAATCCGAGGAGCCCTGTTACCTCAGTTGGTAGCGTGTCTGGCTCATAACCCTGCCCAGTTAGACAGCAATATTTTAAAAATATTGAAATTTAATATATTTTTAAAATGTTTTTCATGTATTTTTAAAATATTTTCAAAAGTACTTTTGAAATACAATCAATGAATATTTTTAAAACATTTTAAAAATATATTAAAAATATAAAAAATTAAAATTTTTAAAATAATATTTTATAATATTTT